ATTAAGTTTAACGGGCTTATGATTCATTACTTAAAGCATAGTAGCATGTATAATATCCATCACTTACTGACAAATGGTTTAGCAGTATGGCATGAAATTTACATTCGATTATTTCTATGAATCAATGCAAACCTTGTTTACTGCAAATTATATTATAAACTTAATCTACTAACCCTAAATTAGGATGCACAAACTTAATTGCGTGACGAATATCACAGTTACAATGACGTCACAGGCAGTGTTATGGCCTTAACGAGCGAAAATTAGTTGAGAACATTAGAGCACCATTAGGGACGCATAAAGTACTATCATTCCCATTAATAGCGTCCAGGGAAAATGATTGGGATGTAAACATAAGTATAAGTGGTAATATAGATTAGATATTTTTAACGGGATTATAACGTTGCTTAATATGCAAAGACTTAGGATCTTATCATTTTAGAAAATATTCTTAATCTTCAGAAAAAGATTATTGCGGCGTTGTAATTTCATTTTGTCTATTTACAAACACAATATAATTACACGTACATAATTTCAGTTCACAAAGGTCTCTGATTGTTTGAAGGGTATACATGTGTCATCATTTTGAAGATGATATTGTTAACCAAACCAAATATAATTTTTCAACTTTCTTGAAGACATTTTTAAACGCTCAAACAATAAAATTTTCACAAATTTTTTGCTTGTGCTTCTTCGTCTTACATGTATGATGTATTTACAAATCAATAAAACACGAGAACGAACTTTTAAAATGGAATCAAATGATGAGTTATTTTGTTCATGTGTCAATCCTTGAACCTGATTTCTGACAAAATACAATGTGTAGATATGTTAATGTGCAATGACTTTATAATGGGATACCGGATTAGCATGTAATCGGTCATACTCTCATAATATCTTAATATAACGCGGTATAACTATTTCGATGCTGTCCGTTAGTGCTATTTACAGAAAAAGTTTTTTGCCCTCAAAGTGTAATATTATTAGACATAGAGACATCATTATTAGTAAAAAAATATACAAATGAAAAAAAATCTTTTCCATTTATTCGAAGTGCAGGGGAAAGAAAATTAATTTCGAATAATCGATGGGTTCGAATGATCGAAATAGAAATATTGTGCTAGTCGAAAACTACTCCACTTTGGCCAATCTTAGCAAAATTTCCGTTTACAACACACGTGTTTCCTGCAATCAATTGAGAAATAAATAAATATTAAAGAAAAGATCCGGAAAAAGAAATTTTATTGGCATTGAAGACATAAATACTTGCATTTTGTTCTACATTATGTACCGTTCCGTTACGTGAAACGCCTTGATAGTGGCCATGTTGTCACTACGGTATTTACAGCTAAACTCTGGCTTTTTCGATAAGGGTAAAGGCTCTCATGTAGCGTTACAAATAATTAAAAAAAATCTTTTGGATGTTTTGACAAATTCACATATGAAGTATGATAAAAATTAACACTATCATCTTCAAGCAATAACAGTTACAATATCGGACACGGTGCATATCTTTTAATTTTCGGTTTAAGAACACGCAAAGCGTAATTATCATGATTGTCTACATACACACATATTGAATAATTTTCACAAGTCGAGCGGTCAGTGAGTTGACCTGCGCGAATTAGTCTGGCTTCAAATACTTGGTGTGAAATTCTTTCATAAATGTATGATCGGGACCGAAATTTTAAATAGGAGGTATTCGGATAATGCATTTCACTTTTAATACGCTCGTATTATATTGATTTATATAGAGCTAAAACGGAACCGCCGATCTACTTCGGATAATGCCTGGAATTCGAATAAAGGGTTGTTGAATAACCGTGGTCGGACTGTACAACATTTTGGATAAGAGAAGCATTTTAACAAAACAGATGAAAAACCTGTTTGTGAAAATATTAAGTGAAAATATGAGAGTACAAATTATCAAATGAGAGCAAAAGTATAAAAAACAACAAAAACAAGATGTAATGTGTTACAAAATAATGAAATAAATGAGTGATTCGTAATGTAATAACAGATATGTAGCACATATTTTTGTTATGTGTTACACGGCAATTAGGATAAAGAATTAAACCTAATTATATGATCTACTTTTATGTCTCTGTGTCATCGAAATTGTCAAAATGATAAAAAACTATCAATAGGAGACAATCGATCGAAGTCTCATTATGTTGTTGTTATGATTTAACGACCAATTTTAACCTTTCTAAGACATATATTTATCAATTATACTTCAATTTTTCAAGCTTCTTTATCTTCAATTTATTATACATTTGGTACGTGGCCGTATATCAAATAAAATGATTCATCAAAATTTATAATCTTTGCACATGTCAACATTATGAACATTTTCGTTCTTATTATGCTAATGGAACACTATGAGCTTATTAATATTTATAATCTGTAAATAAATTTGTAATGTATTGAGAACTGATTTGATAGAAACCTTGAAATAATCAAACTGTCAAACTTTTATCAAAGTATCAGTTTTTGTTTTTTTATTTCAGAGGGGAAGAAGCCATGAGAAGAAACAGAAATTATGGATGTTTTATGTTTACATCCAGAATTAGTAAGTAAATCGAATTCTGAAATGGTTGTAAAATGCAGATTCATTTTTATAGTGCCTCTTCACGAGAATTAGATAATTAAACTGGAACATTTTTCACGTCCAAAAGCACCGATTTAAAGGTAGTCAAACCTTAATACAAGAACACTGTCTTCTCGCTAACTTTTAAAATGTTGTGCATAAAATGTCTTATTATTTTTTAATTGCAAATCCCCTCTAAACAGCAAAATGACCTGAAATATATATATTTATATCAGAGAAGTATGCACAGTTTTATTACGGTTGTAGTTATATTATTTATAATTCTGTTATGAGACAGATATTGGAAAATGGTAAGAATATAATCATATCGCCCCTCTTTTTATTAAACGCCCACTTTTCCCAAGTGTACAGTTCCTGAACATCAAATCTATAAAGTTCGACAAATATATATCTCAATGGTCTTGTTTATATGTCACAACTTTTTTACGCGCGAGTATACTTTATTTGAATAATCTACCTACTGTAAGAATATGCAAACCAACTACATCATACATGTCAAATTACAGAATTATCACATAACAGAAATATCATATTTCAGAAATATCATATAACAGGAATATCTTCTCAGAAGTTGTTTAATAATGTTTTATAAACTTTATTTGCCATATATTACCATTGTTAATCAAAGGACTATGGAGTAATTGTACAGCATATTACAGCAACAACATTTCATGCTCTGACTGGTTCTTCAAGATAAAGATTTTCTGGACTTAGGTGAACATTTCAATCCACGGAAAAACAGCCACTCGTTGATGGTTATATTTGCTTAAACAATATTCAGGACAATAAGTATGCATTAATAAATCATGGCTGTTATGATACTGACCTCGTATCTATCCATAAATGATACGATAAAACAATTTACAACACTTCTGAATGGGACAAAACAAATACTAAGAAGGATCGGTAAATTAAAAGGTTTGTGTTGTTAACCGACGGTTAACCACATTAGTTAACATATGTTAAACAATTGACAGTGCTTTGGATACAAGTTTAAATTGTCTAAAAATTGTAAAAATGACTAATTTAGCTTCAGAAGCTTGATATACACTCGTTATTATAATATGTAATGACCGAATATCTTTGTGATATAATCTAAAAACATATTAATTATTAATTAATATTGTAATAGCAGCCCAAGAGAAGTACTGGAACTGAGATGAACCAACTGAGAAAGTTTTGAAATTGTATATATTTTATTCTCATACACTGGTTGATTATTCCTAAATGTTCCTAAATGTTCCGTCAAACTCTTTGGGCTTGCAATGATACGCAATAAACGCAAAAATTATTTGTCCTTTTTAACACGGACATTCGCAATGTGCTACAAATGGCGTACAGATCAGCAAGGGACGCAACCCGCATAAACTTGAACGACTCAATATCGTTGTCGTCTTGCCGCAGCCACATGGCTCCCCCAAATTAGTACTACTAATTTGACAAAATATACAGCAAATATTTAATCATGATAGTAACATTATACATCACATATTTCAATTGTTCAAAACATGTCATTTTACAATACAAAATTCAATGTTTAACCTGATTTAGAAACAATTACTTAAAAAGCATTACAATATATATGAGAAAACATGAAAATATGGTCATTTCTGATGAATTAGAAAGCTCAATATATTCTTCAAAAATGTATCTTTAGAAAAAATCAATACATTCTAATATGAAAAGTGAACTTATCCAAAAATATGGTCAAAAACAGGTAAAAAACACAATCCTTACAAATACAGTGACACTGTAACCCTACAACACGCTAAAACCCTGATATTACTGTACCTTAGGCTCCTCGACAGGGATTTCGTCGGTCTCTTTAATCAGTATCAACTTATGTATCGGTCTTTCCATGTATGTGACAGGACCATTGCGTTTACCCTTGGCAGTTAGACTAGGTGTACCTATAGCAATTCTTACCTTGCGTACTAGACCATCAGTTTCTTTCAATACCTCATGTACTCGACCGAGTCTCCAATCACTCCTAGCTGAATTATCATCCTTTATTAGGACAATATCGCCAACTGACATGTTACGCTTTACAGATGTCCATTTGTTACGTACCTGTAAGTTTTGGAAATACTCATTGCGCCAGCGTGACCAAAACTCATTTAGTAAGTACTGAGTTCTACGCCAACGTCGTCTGCTGTACACATCATTCTTCTAGAAGTTACCTGGTGGCGGAAGAATAATGCTAGTTTTCATGGTAAGTAAATGATTAGGTGTGAGAGGCGTTACAGAGAGTGGGTCATTTACATCAGTGACAGTCAGCGGTCTACTGTTAACAATAGATGCAGCTTCGTAAAAGAAAGTTCTTAAACTATCGTCATCTAACTGATTACCATGAGTATGTAACAAAGTAGTCATCACATTTCTAATAGACCTAATTTGGCGCTCCCATATGGCTAGCAGCAGGGACATTCATTTTCCACTCAAACCAATCACAGTTCTCCTGCAAAAGAAAATCCTTAATCTTGTTGTTATCTAATTCAGCAAGCGAAGCTATCAATTGAACACGACCACCTACGCGAATCAAACCATCACTATCAAGAAATGGATCTAATTTGCAAAGGGAAGACTTTCCTTTAAGAGATTTAGTCCGCAATGATTTTTCTGCTCTATCAGAAGGAATTCCAACCATAGAATGAGTTTTTAAAGAATCAAACTCTTCTTTGAAATCACTATACTGCACAACCTTAAAGATTTCAATTTCTGCTACCCGCAATTCTTCAACAGTAAGATCACCATTCATGGCTGAAAATGTCTTAACAGAAGTGTTTTGCAACCCAATCTTTTGCATCAACTTAGTCTTATACCGGAGTGCTAATGCTACTGCTCTCTTACACCTATACCAGTCAGAGAAATATTGAATCCGTTCCAACAAAGAACTATACATAGGTATCACTGCACTAACTAGCAAATTTTTAACAGATTTCAATTCTGGATCATCAGGACACACTGAAAATTGTGTGTTCACAGCAGCTACTTCTGGTTTCCAAAGAAATTCTGGCCCATTGAACCACATTGGATTTTTAGATAAATCTACAACAGATACACCTCTAGAGGCTATGTCAGCTGGGTTTTCACCAGAAGTGACATATTTCCACTGGTCTGGGCTAGTATGTTCCTTTATTTGCTGAACCCGATTAGCAACGAATACATGAAATCTCCTTGCCTCATTACAAATATATCCAAGGACTACCTCACTATCTGTCCAGAAAAAGTGCTTTAGATTTGGATAATCAAGCTCTTGCTTAAGAAACAAGGAAATCTTTACTGACAACACAGCCGCTGCTAATTCAAGACGTGGAATTGTAATGGGCTTTAAAGGAACCACCCGGGATTTACCCATTAATAAAGAACAATGCACTTGACCGTTTTCGTTCACTAAACGAATATAAGAACATTGGCCATATCCGCAAGTACTTGCATCAGAAAAATGATGCATTTCTGCAACCTGAATATTCCCAAAGTTTGGAGGTTTCACACATCTTGATACCTTTAAAGAAGGAAGATTTCTCAAGTCACTATACCAGTTAACCCACTTACTACTCAAACCTTCTGGTAAGGGGTCATCCCAACCAAGTTGATCTGCACACATGTGCTGCAAAATCTGTTTACCTGTTAAAACAATTGGAGATATCATGCCAAGTGGATCATATATTGCACTAACAATAGACAAAATACCTCTTCTCGTAAGGGGGCGATTGTTTTGAACCATATCAAATTGAAACGTGTCAGAATCCAAACACCACAGGACTCCTAAAGTTCTATGTATTGGTAAGTTATCCCCGATAACATCTACATTTTCCAGGTTCTTTGCTCGAAGACTGGGAGGAAGAGCATTGATCACATCTTTAGAATTAGACACAAACTTATGAAGCCGAAGACCAGCTTTACTACACAATTCTATACTCTTCTCAACAAGATTAACAGCTTGTTCAACAGAACTCACAGACTTTAACCCATCATCTACATAAAAATCTTTTCTAATGAACTCTGCAACTTCAAAACCAAACTGTTCTTCATTATCAGAAGCCATTCTTTTCATTCCAAAGTTCGCACAACCAGGGGATGATGTTGCTCCAAACAAATGTACCGTCATTCTAAATTCTGAGGCCTCCTCTTTTGGGTACCTCTACGTGGTGAGGAGGAGTAACATGTGTCCGTTATGGGGGTGCGCTGCTGTGCGCCTGTATGACGGACATATGGCCAACACCCAGACTGCCTGTTTGCCGTGGGCAGCGTCCCGTAACCTAGAAAGGAGGGTCCTGGTAGTTGAAGGATACCCAGGGATCTCCAGTACTCCTAACACACTGCTTTGGCCTCTGCTTTTAGGGGTAGACGGGTGACCAAGTGAGCCCGGCTTTGGTCAATCGGCTGGTCATGCCTTGCCCTTGGATATATATTTCTTAAATACTTGAAAATTTCATTGAACTTACACGGTCCCAAAATGAAGACAATTCATGCACACAAATTATTTAAAATAATAAAAAATCTGAGTTTAAATTTTTATTCCTAC